AGGAACCTGCCCAGGCGTCTCCTCGGATTACTATCAAACATGCCAAAAGGAAGGTAACAACTGAGAAGAGAGAGGGTTGGCTTTTCATGAAAAATTCTAATGAGAACCGTTGTGTAGACAAACCCCAACTCACTGTGACCGATCTTGAAAAAAGGAAGTCTGGCGACAAGTTTGGCGATCGTTCAGGAATAAATATATGGGGATTTGATGATGAAACTAAATTGTGGGTGGTGAAGAGGAAATCCGGTAACTCGGAATATTACAAGAGCATTCACGACTTTTGTTCCTGGACGAGGGTCGATCTTTCTGAACTCTCAGTTGCTCCGTTCCACAATCCTTCCACAACACTAGTGCCTTTAACTTCAAATGATTTCTAGAAAGGCATGTCAATGAAGAGTTTTCTAACATGAAGACAGCAGAATCACTCATTAGAAGAGACAAGGAGGTGCTCTATCCCAAAACCAATGAGCCAATGAAGATAGTGTTGTGGCCTGCCACAAAACAATTGAAAGAAATTCCTATTCCTTTACATTTAAATGAGGGATATCTTGACCGTATGGAATTTTGGGCTTTCAATGAGGTCACAGCCACAACAGTGATCAAGTTTTTTCGTCTTGTCAATGCTAAAGATCTTTTGAGTTTTAGGGAGCGAGATGTTCACACCTTGGCTCAACATCAAATTGTATGCAAGTCGGATTTACTGGAGCCAGCTGCAAAAGAGTTCACTTCAATGGTTGCGACAATAATTGAAAATAAGCTATGGCTGGGAGCAATGGGGAAATCAGATGTGATGCTGTTTGAGAAGTGAAGACAATAGAAGCCTTGAGTTATGGCTAGCCACAAACCAAGGGGGAGATTGATAGGTCATAGCTTTGTGGTTTGGGCTAGTCATTCATCTTGTATAAGTCTTGATAGGGTTTATGGTGTTTTTCTCATTTTTGTTTTGTGTTCACGATTGTGAGGGTGTTTACAGCCGTGAACATGTTCACGGCCGTGAACCCTGTTTGCGGTTGGTCTGTTCCATATAAATAAGAGTCTGTCAGTGACGTTGTCAGCCTGTTTGCGGCCTATGTATGCATGCTCAAGGTGTACCTGACGTTTTTATGATATAAACGTGTGCATGCTTGATTTAATCCTTTCTCTACTCCATTATTATTCGGTTTGATTGTTGTTTGTTTGATCACTGGTTAAGATACTTGGAATCGGGACTTTACAAGCATGAACCAGAACAAGCTCCTCATAGAGTATCTTTAAAGCGAGCTCGGTAATCATCGTCTTCTAATAAATCGAAATGGCTATTTAAGAAGAATTCCGATCAGAACATTCGTGGAGACCAACCCCAACTCACAGTAACAGAACTTAAGAAGAATAAGTTTGATTCCAAGTATGGAGATCGTTCAGGAATTCTGATGTGGGGATTCCATGACAAGCTGAATATGTGGCTTGTGAAGCGTAAAAGTATGAATGTGGAGTACTACAAGGACAAACACGACTTTAGTTCATAGACGAGAGTTGATCTGTCTGAACTTGCAAGTGCTCCCTTTTCTAACCCATCCAATGATACACGAGCAACATATTTCAAGCTTTTTCTGGAGAATCAAGTGAAGATGAATTTTTCCAGGATGAAGAATGCAGAATTATTTGTCAAGCACTTCAAGGACGTATTGGATCCAAAGACTAACGAGTCGTTCAGAGCTGTGATGTGGCCCCCTACTGACCAAGTGAGACAGATTCATATAGTACAGAACTTTCAAGATGTTTCACTAAGAAATATGTTTTACTAGGTCTATGATGATGCCACAGCTTCTGCTGTCATCAAATTTCCAGACGATGTATTTCGATTGATCGACAAGAAGGATTTGCTTCAGTTTGGTAAATGGGACATTCACACTCTGGCTCAACATCAAATACATGTTGCTGATGAAAATTTTTGAGATTGCTGCTAAAGAGTTCACGACGATGATTGCAAAGATTATAGAAAAGAAGATGTAGTTGGGTGCAATGGGAAGGTCGGATGTGCTCATCGTTGAAAAGGACTAAAACTATGCTAGCCTCAAACCAAGGGGGAGACTGTTAGGTCACATTTTTTTGGTTTGAGCTACTCATCTATCTGTATAGGTCCAATAGGGTTTTTGGTCATGTTACTTAGTGTTTGCGGTTGGGTTTACGGTCGAGTAGGGTTCACGGTCGTGAACCTGTTCACGGTCGTGAACCTGTTCACGGCTGTGAACATGTTTGCGGCTGGTATTGGTATAAATAGCGTGTCAGATGTAAGATAGACGTGTATGTATGTGTATTCCAAGTGTACCAGACGTTTACTGTCGTGAATATAAACGTGTGCATTTGTTGGAATCTCTTTGCTTCTACTCCTTCTTCTTGTTCTTATTGTTTTGATTACTTGATATGTGTTTGATCACTGGTTGGTTCCTGGATTTGGGACTTACAGATGTTCTTCTCTGTCCATTTCTTCCTGGGTCATATGTGTAGCAAAATAGTTGTGATTGAGAGGAGGAAGAACGCTACTATAACCTAGACCTACTTGTTTCTTATCCTTCCACTTCATTTGTTTTTCTATCATCGTTGCAACTTTCTCACTTTACACATCGAATTTTTTAAGTTAAAATCAGCATTTTCAAAACGGATTTTCAATGTGTCAAGTTCGTCAGTCACAGAGGCAAGTTGTTTCTTAATGAAGTTGTAATTCTCACATTTGTTACTATAATCTTCCTGCAACTGCCTAAAATCCTTAATCTTGGCCTCTAATTGTTATTTTAATGGTATCTGGCCTCTTCTAAGGTTATACCCCTCATACTTCAGGTCCTCATTCTGTCTACGCAATAATTTTATCTACTCACGTAAGAATTTATTAGTATCAATACATGTTTGAGAGCAAGAATTTTGACTGACCTCCTTTTTCTCCGGTTTAGGGGTTGTAGAAACCATGAATGCAAACTGAAGCTCCATCAATTCTTCCTCAAGGTCCATCTCAGCTCTATCTTCAGAAATGCCATTGATCTGGGCCAGATGGGCATTTTCAGGTCCTGAAATGTTCAGGGCCTAAATCTGGTCCTCCCAGTCAAATGACTGAGCTACCACTGCCAGATTGGTAGTCTCATTCTTAGCAGCAGCAGCTCCTCGGTTGTTTCCTACTAGCACCATCGTTCGATCATTGTCCACCCTCCTGTCAGGCTTCTGACAGTCACAAGCAAAGTGACCAGGCTACTGACAGTTGAAGCAACGAAGCTTTCCCTTGTTGAAACCCACCTTCTTTTCCGCATTCATTCCCTAATTATTTTTCCCTGTCTTCTTCGCAAATTGCTTTGCCCTGAATACCGCCATCGCAATATGTCATGTGATGTCCATCTCTTCAACATCTTCAGGGTGTATCTAATCAAGATCGGAAAATGAAATCTGAGGAGGCAACTCGCCAGCAACAAAAGCGTTGTAGCAGTTCACCAATCCAGATGCAAGAGCAATATTCTCTTCGGCTTCCTTTGGAACAAATACTGAAGCAGGAGCTTTTGAAGAAGAGGCAGCTTGTGGATAAGGCATTGAAGTTGGAGTAACATAAGATGATGGTTGTGGAGCAGCAAACACTTGACTTTGAGGAGTTGTAAAAGATGAGAAGGCATTGTTTGTAGATATCCCGAGATTAGCAGTTGAGTAAGAGTTCACATGATTGATTTCCCTCTGTTTGTCATTAAGATCACAAGCTTTGATGATTGCCATGGTTTCAGCCAGACTAAATCCATTAAGATCTTTTGTTTTCTTGATGACGGCAACATTCATATCCCATGTCTTTGGGATAGAGTTTAGCAACATTTTGTTGATTTCAGATATTGGCACAGAGATTCCGGCAGAACTCGTCTCAGTAGTCAGTGTGATGAATCGTTGAAGTTGACATAAACAACATAAAATGAGTTATAGAATTACCTCTTGTTGTAGCTTGTAGTTTTGGCCTTTAAGAACTTAGCACCTCAAATATGATGCCTCAAATGGTTCACAAACACCATGAAAAAAGGAATTTTGAGAGAGAATATGGAGCACTAAAATTCGGCTATGCTTCTCCAAGAATGCATGTTCAACCAATTTTAGGCCAAAGGGGTGTCATATATATAGTGTAGGAATTCAAGGGTCATGGGTAAACCCTAATCCATACACTTAGGTTATGATCCATATTTCATGTGGGCTAACTCTTCATGGATACTTACATAAACTTAGCCCAACATGGATCAATAGCCCAAACAATATATATATATCACTGATTTACACAATTAGTCCTCATTAATTCAATTAGTCTCTTTTGATCACTAAATTAATTCCAAATTAATTATTACGTGGGGGGTCGGATGCGACAATTTTTTCCGTTGTTTGTTTATACTTTGAACACTGTTATGTGGTAGCTTTTTAACATAATAGGCAGTGTTTATGATGATAAAAAGAACTAATCTGTAAATATTCTTTCATGAACTATTTGTTTATACTTTGTTTATACTTTGAACACTGTTGTGGGGTAGCTTTATTCCGATTGTTAAACATGTTATTGATTAAATATATGATAAAAAAAAGTATTTTGCCACCCTAAATGCATGCACAAAAGGCGAAACTGGAAACATGTGGAAGCATTAGTATAATGGACATGAGTTGAGGTATTTGTTTATTGTTTTCGATGATTTTGCTATTACAATGGACATGCTTTTACATCTTTCTGTAGAAAAATATTGCATTCAAAAAGAATACATGACACACCCGCGCTTTCCAAAATGCTTCAAAAAGTACATGGGTCACTGAATCTGGATAATCCAGGATTTAGTTCCATCTATAGATTTTGGCCATTAATCCCTTTGCGACTTGGGTACAGCTTTTCTCGTTGGCAACCATGTAAATGTTAATGGATTTGGAAGAAAAAAACAGGACAAATAGGTAAATACATAGTATCTTAATACATTAAGCCGAGTTTTTGGCTTAACCCATTAAATAAGTCATTTACTCCGGATTAAGTCAAAAACAAACAATAAATAGATTGCATACCAGTTTATTTATCAAGATTTTTAATAGAAAAAGAAATCAAATATTCGTCTTCACTATATAACATTACTACATAACAATAAACTAAGTTAATTCAAATAAATACACATGTTGTATACGGCTTCATTTCAGGAGGGGGCCACTCATTTGAAACTTTCATGAACTTCTTAATTTGAGCAAACATATGTGGTCTGTCTAAATTGCATGCATTGGTCCTCTGCTTAGCAGGCTCCTATATCACGCAACAACAGAAAGAGAAAAGATTCAATTATTGAATTATTGGGTTATAGAAAATTATATATTATAACTTATAAAGATGTAAATTTTCAGGAAATAAAAAAATAGAAAAAAAGCGTGTTAATTTAAAGTACATTGTTATTTACTGCGTTTACCACCTAAATATGGGAATTGCACCAAATGGCAATGTGTTTTGGCTTTTAGTAAAAAAAGAAAAAAAAAATGCAAAAAACAGAAATAAAAGTAAAAGATTACTAATAATCCTATTAAAATGGCAACGCATTTTGTAGATTAACCTTAATTTTTTTTACTAAAAAACATTTACATATTTGTCTAAAACTAAAAGATTACTAATAAACCTATTAAAATAGCCAAACAAAAAAATAGACTTTGTTTAAAAATAAAAAAATAAAATAAAAAACCTAAATCGACAATAAAGGACCTAAGACAAAGCCATTTGATATGGTGCAAATACATTGCCCATGTAGTCATGATTTCCCAACACTACAAAATAAAAAATAAAATCATTATATATTTATATTATAGAACAATTTTATCCTTTTACTATTTTCTCTATTTAGTTTCATAGTAAACAAAATTACCTGAGTAGCATTGTTTTTGTAAGCTCTTTGTTGTATATATTTCACTAACTGATTCAACAAACAAAAGGATCTTTATTCTATGTTAATCCATCGTCGTAAAAGTCGTCACCAGTTGATATGATGAAGTCCACATTCAATTTCTCTCCCATTTTCCCCATCTAAAATGTAAAAAAAAAAAAAAAAAAAAAAAATACATGTTTTAATATAACTGCTTGTTAAATGTGTAAATTATGATATAATATCATAAAAATTAGACCGAAGGAAAATACATGTTGTAGAAGAAAATATCATGATACACGTTTTAATATTACTTATATATGGCATATCTACAAAACTGACCATACCATAATGGAAATTAAAATAACAAAGGACCCAATTTCTTTGTGTTTACCGAAATTACACTAAAGCAGCTCCAGAGTTGATTGAAATTAACAATTCTCCAAATTCAAGAAAAGCCAGCACCGTTGTTTAAGTATTAGAATAGCCAAACAGGTTTAATGAAATTACGTTGAAAAGGAATCATCTGTGTTGATTAATATTTTTTGGAGCGTCACAGTAGTCATCCTTAAGAAAAAAATTACCTTTTGACACTTCCAATAATTTCTTCCCGTAACCTGTATGGCCATGTTTTTAGGTCATCTTCTGTTGATTTCAGTAAAAGATCTGCACTTTTATAAATTCAAGAATAAGATAAAATAATTATAAAATAAATACATAAATCTGAAAAAAGAAAAGATCATTTAAATACCTATAATAAGGGGTTATTTTTTTCTCATTAAAAGGCGATCGACCAATATGGCTCTTTGTGCGTCTACCGAATGGATCAAATGCTTACCTCCTCTATTCATAAAATAAGCAGCAATGAAAGTAGAATTTAAAATTGAAGCAAATATCGAAGGAGCACCACACAGGAAAAGAAACCCAATTCCATATGAGCACAAAACCTCTACCACTGCCTCCTTTGTGACCCACTCTCAAAGCAAGAAAGAATCAAATTCCATAATGGCGGAAAAGCAATCGTGCAACAGAGGACTTAAAGCAGAGAATGAAAAATATAGAAAACGGATATAGAAATATTATGTTACCTGTACCATCTTTGTTCTTCAAAATACTAATGATCTCCATCTGTGCTTCACATTCTGTTTACGTTGTTCGCTTAATTCTCTCTCCCCGCCAAAATTGAAATTGGAAATCAAAACTTGAAATCGGAAAACTGAGACAATGGAAAAAGACAACACTTAATGGATAAAACATATCAAATACTTGGTCAAAGCCTGTCCAAAAACTGTATAAAATTCAATCTTTTTATCATATGTTATATCAAGGTCAAGGTAAAAAAATATAAATGCTCAAGAAAAAAAGTCACAAGAATGTAAACAGAATGTGAAGCTGGCGACCTAAAACAGACAAAGGAATCGGTAAGACTCACTCCATCATAGTTAAAACTACGTGGGGAGTCCCCGCGTTGCGGGGTCGGATTTCTGTTGTTTGTTCTTTTTGTAAATGTTGTTTGATCAACTATTTGTTTATAGTTTGAGTATTGTTATGGGGCAGTAATATTGTTTCGTCATGGATAATTTTTTTGTTGTCGGATAAGCTATTTATCGAAATATATACTTCATGGGTTTATCCTTTGGTTGATGGGATCGAACCGAAGAGCCGGATTCCACGGATCAAATACTTCATGGTTTTTTCCTCATTAAGTGTTGTCTAAGTATAACATTGGCTAGCTCAAAAAACATTTGATAATATGACAACACACGTATCTGATAAAAGCAAAGTCACCACAGCAAAAAAAAAAAAAAAAAAAACAAAATCAATTTGTTGATTAGTGTGTGTTCCAGTATGTTAATAAGTTCAATTGTCGGCTTTCTTAGATTCCATAAGTCCTGAGAAAAGAAAAGAAAAAAAAACATATCAAAACTTTGGGATGTTCAATCGTCGGCTTTGTTAGGTAACTTCTAAAATTGAAAATTAATCTAAAGTTCATGCATAACTTAAAAAATAAATAAATAAATAAATAAAAATTATTCGGATGTTCAAGTATGGTTTATTTACCTGATTCTTAGTTGAAGATTAGGCATCGAACAATATCCGTTGTTGCCCATGTGGCGAAATCTGTTGTAATAGTGGAAGGCAACTGCAAACATTATATTTCAATGAATTACCAAAAGTTCTATTTAATTAACTATTAAAAAACATATCAATTAGCTGATAATAGTGGTTAAATTTGTAACAAATAGGAATATATTTTTCCTTTTGGTAAAAAAAATGAAAACAAATTGCATAAACCAAATAAATGTGTAAATTCAAAGTACGTTGCTATTTAGTGTAGCTGTCAATTAAAAATGGAAAATTGACCAAATGGCAATGTATTTTGGTTTTTAGAAAAGGAAATGAAAACAAATTGCAAAAAACAAAAAAAAAAAGTTCAAATAGAAAATTTGCTGCTATGTACTGTTGTTGCCACCTAAATTTGAAAAAAAAAACCTAAATCTAAAAAAGAATTGAAAGTGAGCCACTGTTAGATATGTATGAATCGAAAGTCAACCAAAACTTGTCATACTTTGCCTAAAAGTAACATCTAATATTTTATTAAGGTTATTCTAATGTAATTCTATTAAATTTGTTTAAAATTTTCAAATTCAGGTATTTTAGTTAAACTGTATACACGGGAAATTTTCGTTAAAAACTCTTCAAGTCAGTAACTTTTACCAAAGAAGCTGTATGCAATGGCAGTTTGGTCAAAAACTATGAAATCATGAAGTTTTTAACCCAAAAAAGAGTATGCGGTGGTTACCAACTTCCTTTGCCATTTTACATATTACATAAGAAAAATATACTGCACACGTGTCATCAATGGAGAAACATCTTTGCAAACAGAAATACCTCTCTCCAAGCATTGTTCAGTGACCTGTCATCAATGGAGAAACAGAATTCAAAAAACTAAAAATAAAGATAAAAATTCTATTAATTTTAATAATCTTCATCAATTTTAATATGAGGTGTACCTCTAGAAGTCGTTTTGTGGCTTCATCAACATTTCTACATAAAAATGTCTTTGAGGTATCAGCATGATAACCCTAATAAAAAGATGGATAAAAAAATATATAATATTTCTATAAAAAAAGAATATGATAATCTTACATCTAAGTAAACGGTGACATCAATATTTATAATATCTCCATCCTGCATAAAAGAGTAACACCCAAATTGGAAGCAGGTGGAGAAAGCGAAGGAAGGCAGACGACAAATGCAGAAGAACAACAGGCAGAATCAGTTAAAACACATAACCAAACCATTATAGCAGAATCGAGCAAAATTAACAATAAACAATTTGTGTTCTTAATATTGAATCTCAAATTACTAATCGAAATCAATAATTTTCTTACTCCTAAATTCAATAGAAAAAATTAGTTAAAGATAATCCTAAATTAATCACTCAAAATTGGAAACAGTAGATGTTTTTTACCTGCTTGTCCTTTTCTATCCCTTGATACCATTGTTGTGTCGAATCAATTGCTGAAAGTCTAGCGATTCGTAGTTCTGGAGTAAAAAAAAACCTCGACACAACCGTTGTGTTGAATGGAGTAGCCAAATTTGTAGGGTGCTTCAAAATACATCAGAAAAATGTTACAGATAAAGCAAAACAATGACATAAAAATAATAGTATGTCACCTCTGGTTTGGAAGTCTAACCTAAAGCTGCAATTTTGGAAGTCGGTGTCGGTGGGGGATTTAGCTGGTCGATTTGAGAGATATGCAGCAACTAAGAAGCAGGCGTGGAAATTTTTATGGGCTTTTAAAAAGGAAAAAATAATAAGATTCGGTTCAGGCATTTTATCGAGCAGGTGGTGTGCATAAATATTAGTTTCAAATTCCTGTGAAAATTAGATACATAGAAGAAAACCCCATTTCAGCTAAAGAAGAATATGGAAGAAAAAAACAAAGAAAATGTGAAAAATACAGTCTAGCATCATCCTCTGATGTTATTTTAATATGTGCACATTCATGATTTCATCAGAATCTATCAACTTAATCACAAAGCTAATAAAATAAGGATCTGAACGGGTAATATAATATGCAAAACGTGAATAAAGTGTTGATGAAAACAATGAATAAATAATTGAATCTACGTATGAGTTTGATCTGAATTGGTATGTATATAAGAATATACCAACTACATGAAGCATCAAGCTGTTATTTATTTCCACAACCGGGAGGTCTACCCCTTCGTCTCTTCCCTGAAGACGGTGTCGAAGATGAGAAGTCACCGGATTGTCCTGCCGCTGGACCATGCGCGTGCCTGGGAGGAGAAAGAGGATGAACACAAACCTGAAAATAAAACAAACTAACAACGATGGATTGTACAGAAGAGAAAAACGAAGGTTACCAATTACCACTCCACGCCAAACAAAAATCTATGCCCGAATCAGTTCTTGGTTGATGTTAGAACAGAGAAGGTGAAAATCGAAATGAAACACTAAAAAAAATGTACAGCTGGTGAAGATGTCGAAATTTTAAATCAAAATCGACGACAACGGTAGGCAAAGCTAGACTTCACTTCGTTTCTAATACCCTGGATGAACGCTAAATCAGCAACAAATCTGAAAATCGAATTGTATTAAAAAGCTGAAATCAAAGATTGCTTACCTGCAAAAGGCGAATTGACAGTGGTATAGAGGTTGAACCCTAAATCAGCAAGAAATTTGAGAAGAACGATGATAAACATAGCAGAAGCTGACGGTGGAAGGAGAAGGTGCAGGGACGTCGTAGAAAGAGAGCAAGAAGGTTGATGAAAACATCGGTGTACATACCGGATTTCTTTAGCTCCTTTGGTGCTTCAAAGTCATCCATGGAGTCTTTGGCTGTGGCTGATGGCGGTGATGGAGTCCGAAAATCGACTTTGGGAAGTGGAATAAACCGACAGATAGATTCTAAACCGAACCACTACCCCCAATCGTGGAGCGCTGGGGTCAGGAGGTTGAAGAAGACGCACCAGACAAAACCTGATGAAGAAACGTAAGCAACGGTGGTGGTGGCTGAATAGAAAAGACTGAAACAATTAGAAAGCGGTGGAAGCGGCGGCTCACCTTCTCTAGCACCTCCGAAGGAAGAAAGAGAACGGAAGGTTTGGATGCTCATCTGAAATTTCGAAGATATGGACGCAGGGGAAATATCAGGAAGCGGATAAAACCAAACGATCATCAACACGTTTATAAAAGAATGTGAATATTTCCATAAAATGCCCAAACGGAAACAACACATCCATAGACTATTCTTGCCAAAAAGCACACAACTTCACTATTCATCTTGCAAGCCAAGTTTAATATATATATAATAATGTGGATCATCATATTAAAATATAAATCTAAATAAAATAATGAGAAAGTAATTTCATTTATGGAATTCGTAGCTGTTATGCCTCTTGAAAAAAAAACAAAATAATAATAATAATAATAAGTAGAACGTTACCGAATACAATAGATCCATCCAATCCCATCCCATCTGTTTAAGCATCATAATCCTAGTTTTTACATAGAACATAAGGAACAGTATATGTAGATTTTTAGATGCACAATAAGAAAAAAAGTGAGTTTATCATATGGAATCACGGTCCAAGAATAGAAAAGCGAAAGGAAGAAGCTCGTAACTCTTTTACCTTGTTAAGATAGGATAAAGGGAAACAAACATCAGACCTTTGTATTGTGACTTTTTTTACAATGTTTCATCGCCAACATTTCCTTTCGAGCCTTCTATGAAAGGAAAGCATATCAGGAGGTGTCCATTCATAATCAACTGAAATGGTTGATTCAACTATCTGTTAGCGTATCAGATAATTTGAAGGAAATTACCAAAACAACAAAATAAATGTGATAGGAAAAAACACAAAAGATATCAAAGTGGTGGTGAGGTGTGGAAAAAGTAACCTGAACACTTGAATTACCTGTTAACATAACAAATTACTTCCAATTATCAATTATGACCACGACAAAATATTCCAACTAATGAGAGAATTGTGAAAAAAGTACAAAACTAACCTGTTCCTAGTATGGTATAGGATTTAACAGCAACACGTGCTGATGATATATGGTCCACTAGCATGGCATAGACAGCTCCGGCGCGCCAGCCTCGCCTGGCGCTCCCTTGACAGCCTTGCTGGGGACTCCCTTGCCAGCCCTGCTGGGGACTCTCCTGCCGGCTCGGCCAGACGCTCCCTCGCCTTGCACTCCCTTGCCATCCTCTCCTGGTGCGCGCCCGCCAGCCCCGCCCGGCGCCTCCGGGCGACCTCGGCCAGCTCCTTGCTAGCTGGGCCTAAATTGGGCTGGCCCAAGGCCTGACCTAATTGTCCCCTATATAATGAACAGTACCTCCTCCATGGAGGGGGCTCTTCCCCAAGTGGTTCAGCCGCCACTAGATCCTTCCATTTGGCTCAGCTGCCACTATACTCCGGCCGGGTGGCTCAGACGCCACACGCCGCCGTCAACCACCATACACCACCACTAGCACCAAGATGGTTCCCTCCAGCTATGGAGAACCATCTCAGATCTTCTAGCTGATCTAACTTGACCGTCGGAGTCCGCTCCTGGGGCACAGTCCCTGGGACGGCTCTAACGACTTTGCACTGTGATATCCAGATCTCCGCCGCAACAGAAGACCAGAAGAGTCGCCGGAGGTCGATGTCGCATCATTTGACGCCATCCCGAATTCGAGCAAGTAGAAAAAGCCTCAGGTTTCCTCAGATCTGATTATTTTCTAGTATCATTTGTTCAGATCTGTTTATTTTTTTGCCAAGATCTGTTCAAACTTGCTTCACCATATCTTAGATCTGTAGATCCATCATATTTTTTAGTTCAGATCTATGGATCTATATGATTTCCTTCACTCAAACACTCCCCAAGTGTACACAAATCTTCTTAGATTTGTTCTTGGTTCATATTTGGGGGTTTTGTTGAGAAGGATGAAGAGAAAATAAATTTTTATGAGCTTTTCGTTCAGATCTCTTGATTTGTTGAGTTTTTCCCGTTCAGATCTTCAGATCTGTTGAGTTTCTTGCTCAGATATCTAGATATGTTTCGTTTTAGATCATTTGAGCAACACTCAGGTTTTAAAAGACATCATAAGATCTAATTTTCGTCTATATTTTGATGGGTTCTTCAGCAAGTAGTGAAGAAGGAATTTCTCATGAGTTCTTAACCCATTTTCGTTTTTATTTTGGTGTTCTTTCTAAGAAATCTGAGAAGAAGAGAAGTTTCTACTCCATGTTTAGTGTATATGTTTACAAAAAAAAAGAACGATTTTTTATTTTTGTATAGAACTTCAATTTCTGAAACATTTACTTGTACATTCAGCCATATGGCTTGTACATTTTACAAAACCCTCATAAAGAAAAAGAGAAGGGATGAGAAGTTATGATGGGTCTTAACCCACTTTCAGTTTATATATTTTTCAGAAAATCCTATTTGGTTTAGGATTCTCAAGTATTATTCAAGTTGTTTGCAAATTTGAAAGAAGAAATAAGTTTCTATTAATTTCTTATCTTCTCAATTCCAGAAAACTCATTTTTCATTGTGCTGTAATCCTTGAACATTTTCAAAAGCTAGTAAAGTTACTTTTACCCCTATGGTTTTACCATTTTAATTAATGGTTAGTCAAAAAAACGCATATACAAGCTAGAAGACAAATGCATAAAAAAAAGCAAATATATATGCGCAGAGAATATTTTACAGCTCACGTTTACAGTGAATTGTGAAAAATATTACAACAATGAGTTGTCACTAGTAAGCCTTGTCACTCTTAAGCCGACAAAAAAAAAAGGGGGGGGGGGGGGGGGGGGGGGGAACCATGGCTTACAGTTTACTGGTTCGTCAAAATAAAAAAGAAAAAAAGCGGGTGTACGGATGATACAAAAAGTAACCAATATAAAAGAAGGGAAAAAGAGATAGTATACAAAATGGTGATTCATTTTCATATCAACAAAGAAAAAACCAGATACAGCAGTTGTATGGCTCTTTGTCGTTACATGACCGACCAAAAAAAAGGGAGAGGGGTATGGGTGTATACAGGCTGTACACCATAAGCCAAAAGTTAAAAATGTGGGTGGGACCCATGTGGTCCAATCCTCAATGGACAGAAAAAGCAAAATCGGGCCCCACTTGGCTCTCACAAACCACCGGCGACGAGCCAGTCAAACATTACCGGAAAGTTGAAGTCCGGCCATCTCTCACCCATCCGAAGGCAAAACCCTCAGTTGACCCCACCTAGTTCACACTCCTTCGAAACCTCCATGGTGGTGGCCTGGGTTCTTCGTGTCTTTCTCCCACCAAAAGTAGCCCTTGAAACCACCGCGTCGACCACCACTCCCTCACTATGACGTCACATTTCCGATCTCCTCTCTCAGATGGTGTTTTCCGACGAGAAATAAAAGCAGGACCATCCAATAAACCAACACAGCTGGCGGAGACGCTGCTTTGATCCCCGGTGTCTGTCAAATCCGGCGCAAACCACCTGCCTGCTCCGACTTTCCTCCATAGTGGACGCCTTCCATCGAGAAACCTAAGGTCATCGATTCGCCTGACTACCTTTAAGCGACGACCAGATATTTCGTTGTCACATTCCGATCCCTTTGCAATCAACGACGGTCACTGACGAAGGAAATACCAAGACCAGATATTTCGTAAGTTCGCCGCCTCTCAACACCTGTGGGGTTTTCCAAGATTGATAGTTGATGTTGATTCATCATCATCTATTATTGTTGATACCTACGATCCAAAGCAACACAACGAAACCCTAGACAGAGAGATGAAAGAGGACACAAAAAATCCAAAACAGAACCCCCCCCCCCCCATTAGACGGAGCATCTGTCACACCCCGATCATTGTCGGAATCGATCAAGGCGTGATATATTGTTCAAAGTCTCACGACAACTATGTTATAATATGATTAGATTCAATTAAGTACTAAGTATGCAAACAAGATCCACAACATACAAATACAAATCCAAATACGAACAACATTTATTACATCAAATTTAAATAGTCTTGTGGATTTCTAAGGCACAACCTATTTTTCATCAACTTCATTCTTCAAATCTGCATCATGGGTAAAAACAAGTCAACTACGAGAGTTGGTGAGTAATCTAATTTTAGTAGAGAAAATTGTGAAGTTGAAACATTTATAATTTGAAATTTGTTTTCTTTTGAAGTCGGCAAACAATTGTATTTGAAATAACGGTTTATAAATCAAAAATTGATTAACAAATGATAACAACAACAATAAGTCCTCACCCTATATATACATATGTATATATATATATATATATATATATATATATATAGGATGGAACATCTAATCATCATACACACTCAACCACGTGCGATCAATCACCTTAGCGTCCCAAGGCGGGGTGGTCAACCCAATAGCACTATTATTGTCCATAACGTACCTCAAGAATACGGGCATAGTCATGGAGATTAGACTAAAAATGGTAATGCACTATAAGTACATGTAGCGTAAACAAACAATAGTTATACAATTAATGACTCACGTATAAATGTCCCAACAATGTCTCAATTGTGATAAAACAATAAAATGAAGTTGGAACATATTAGAACCACATGATACACCCCAAAAGTATTGAAAATTATAAAATATGGGGTAGATTACTCACATTAGTCCCAAAACGAAATGCGTGTGTCGTACGATACACGGTTCGGGTCAAAATGGTGTAGAACCTAATATAATTAATAGTTTTGGTTTAGGAACTGCTAAACGAGAATGGAGAAATTAATACAAATAATTAGACACATATTCTTATATTAGACGAATTAACAATAATTCATTTTGATTAGAATATTAAGGTATTCATTTGTTAAATGAATTTTAAATTGAATTAATTACGTTGCATAATTAATTTATATTTTCAATTTAGGCCAGATTTTAATAATTTCTTATTAAAATAATAACTTGCCAAATTATAATTATTTACATATTTTAACAATTATTTATATGAAATAATCATTAAAATGCATTTTTACATGCTTAAATACTTACGAAAATGGTTTTAAATAGTAAACAGTATTGAAAAATTATGAAATTATTAGGAAATCATTATTTCATACAATATTAATTACTGTAAAATTTTTATATTTTTCTGAACTGTTTTAGTATTTATTTAATACTTTAATGATTAAACAACAACAAAATCCGAGAAAAATAATAAATGATTCCCAAAAATTCTGTAAAATTAACCATAGTTTTATAACATGATATAGAGCCCATTGTATAGGTTTCGGATATTTGTGACTATGGGAAGTATTTTTTATATATTTCATTATTAATTAATCAATAAATTCATAAATAATAGTAAACAGTAATATAAATGCATGAAACTTCATAAATTATGTTTAATCAATATATGGGTCATCCCAGAATTTTCTCAGAATTTATTGAATGCAAAAAGTATTTTATGTGAATTATTGTCCTACTTTATTGCAATAATTATAGTAATTCAATAAAAATAAGTTATTTTCTGAAAATTTCCAGAACTTCTTATTTTATTGATGGGATTCTGGGAAAAATCAGGTTTATGCATAAAATGAATTTTAGATAGTTTGGTGGATTTAATTTGTTTCTTGTATGAATTTGAAACTTTTAACAACATACCTTGATGAATGCTTCAAGAGGGATGAAGATTTGAGTATAATAGATTGTACTTGGCTGGAATATGAGTATATCTTAGATGAATTTCGAGATTGAGAGTGAGAGAAAGAATAGAGAAGGTTTAAGTGGTGAAGAGAATAATGAGTTGGGAGAAAAAGGAAAGGAAAGTGGATGGGAGGTGTGAGTGGGAGACCATGGGAATAATCTTTTTGCTTTTGGTGGTCTTCATAATTTCCCACTAACACAAGCATCTTTTACATAATTAATATAAGAGTTTTATAAAATTTAATGTAAAGTTTATAAAAATAGAGTTTTATAAAATTTAATGTAAAGTTTATAAAATGGAGTTTTATAAAAGATAGGTTATTATTTGATTATAACAATCTACTTTGATTTGAAGTTTAATTATAGCATTCAAGTTTGATTCTTTTAATTTAATTAGA